TACCTGGCTTTAGGAAGGACCTCAAGTTTTTTTAGGAAGGACCTAAAGTGCCTCTGAGTTGAGGGTCCAGTGGAAGGAGGCCAAAAAAAAAAAAAAAAAAAGCCTTTTTATGTGTAAGCTGAGCACATCCAATATGGAAATCACTATGAAGCTGTAAACATGAAACTTAAAGTTTCTGGTTTTGCAGCAGTGTTTGTGGCAGGACTACCTTTTCAATTGCAGAAGAGGACAATGAAGTGCTACAGAGCAAATTGCTAATACTTTGCTAAGGAGCTGGGTTTCTTTTGTACTATGGAGGCTTGGGTGGTTTGTAGGTGGATTTTTTTAAAACTGTTTTGTTTATTTCTGTTTAGAATAGCACTTCATATAGGTGAATGAGAATGTGACTGGGGCCTCTGAAAAGGACTGCTTATGAAAAGCGCATTGAAATGAAGAGGAAAATCAGAAGGCAATACACAATGGTTTAATGCTATCTACTTACTTCTGGGAACAAAAGACATATATTTTGAACTTGTCTTCTTTATTCATTTACTGGATGCTTCCTGCTAATGTAGCTCAGTGGTACTACTGCTACAGATATTGTACCTATAAAACTTCTCTGTGCTGATTTAAGGACGTGCACTTTGGTAATTTACAGTGAAAATTTATGTTGGCTGAGGAAAAAAAAAGGGATTAAATGAAAACTAGTATTAATAAAAATGCCTTTTATGTGGCATGTTGTTTCATTTTTTGACCAGAGATGGTTTATTAAAAGATTCAGCTGTGTACAAAACAAATCTCTGTTGTGTGGGATAACACAGAACCAGGGAGCAAGAGTGGTGATAACGCTTTTGAATCTGATGGTATGGATACAGGTACTATGATGGGGGAGTGGGGGTGGTTGTTTTTGTGCCTTGGGTGCAGAAGAGGAAGGATAGCGGTGATGTGCCAAGCAGGCCTGTTAAAGTGAGGGCAGAGCTGTGAAGGGTGCTGAGACAAGAACTGAGCACCAAACTGTAGGGGAGTCTTTGGCGTAACTGCAATAGGAAGATTTAGGCAGATACAAGCTCAGGCTACCTGTAGCTCCAAGCCAGTAGTCTGGGCACGTTTTTGTGTTGTGCCTGTGAGAAGTGTGCTAGCTCATTACTGGTGTGGTTCAATATTCCAGATCTCAGTCATCTTTGTGCCTGGCTAGCTTGGAGCAGAGGAAGAGGCGTGTGTCACCATCTTGACTCATCCACCTGGACATAGCCTATGTGAAACCACTACTGCGGAAGGTGTTTGTATTAACCCAGTGACACACCTGGGTTAATCAGGGTAGCAGGAACTCAGATTCTTAGTTACAAATCCTGCCTTAGTTTTTATTATATTAGCCCCATCAGACGGCATGCTGTTTTTAGTGGATTTGTGCTGTGATGTGGTGTCACTTTCCTTCCTCCCCACTTCTGCATTTGTTCAGAACTCCTTTAAACGTCCTACATGCTCTCCAACAAATGTGAGTGACTCTTAGCTACTTCTATGGTTTGTGTACCAAATACATTGTGGCAGGTATAGGTATGACACCTCCCCACCTTGTTCTTTCTGCCTGCAGCCTGTGCTGCTTATTTCCTGGGATAAATCTCCTTGAACTAGTCAGAGCTGGATGCGTTTCCTGATCACATGCCAAAGATCTCAGTCTGTACATCGTAGTTTATGTTGTTCTTGCAAGGTGGCCTCTCGGAATCATCTCCCTTCTCTGTGCTTCCCCCGCTGGTGTCTGGTGTTCTGCTGAACTGGAGTTCATTCAGAACAGCTCTGTATGTGTCATCATTGCCCCCAAAGTTCCTGCTTTAAAGGAGATACACCACGTACCAGACAGCTCTCTTCCTCTGCATTCATCTCCTAAGGACCTATCCGAAGTTCAGTCTGATTTTCAGCCTGGTTTGTTTTGTCTGGTGCTTGCCGTTCATTGTCCACTGAATTTTGGAGGTCAGGCTATAGCCTCTAGAGGAAAAGCTATGTAGTATAAACCACCTCATCTCAAGTATGTTTTCAAGGACTTACCCTTAGCAGTAATCAATCCTGCCTCCCCTTCCCCACTCCACTTAAACTAGAGAAGGCAGCAACTGAAAATAATATTTTATATATATGTGTGTATATATATATTCTAGAATGTAGCAAGGTGAAATGTAATTTCCTTTTTAATAAAGGCTGCCATTTAATTTAATATTATAGAAAATGATTAGATCTTAAAAACCTATAAATTACATTTGACAACTCTCTGGTGCTCCTTTGCTATTCTTTATGGCAATTATAAATGGCAACACAGGGTGCTGGCAGAAATGCTCATTCTGACTGGAGTTTGTTTATTGGCTCTTAATGAAAAGCGATTAATCTAAATCACTACTGGGGTGGAACCTTTGCCCTGGTCCCATAATGAGAAGTGGCAGTTTCAGGCCTTTGACAAATGTCCTGTTATTTCCCCTGCCAAAAGTTGTCCCTTCCCCCCAAAGCTTCCAACAGAAAAAAGACAAAAAATAATAAAAAATAAAGCCCAGAGTCTCCCACTCTTGTTTTCCTGCTTGCCACATAAAAAAACTGTGGACCAGTCCTAACTGCATGACTGGTGGTGGCCTTTTGTTTTTCAAAATTTCAAAATGATTCAGCCTCCTGTTTCTTCCATCCTGCTTTGTGTAGGACCAGCCTTGCCTGGGAGGATGGATGACAACAGAGATGTTGGGTGTGTTCTTTTCTCCATTTGAACAATGGAGACTTGATATCAGAACTGGGTGAAGCGGGGTGGGCAACTAATGTGATGGCACTTACCACAAGGTATGACTGTTCTTAGACTCTTCCAGCTTTCCCTCTAGCTCTTAATTTTCCTAGCTTGATGGTTTTATTGGTTGATCTTGCAACAACTGTTATGCTTCCAGAGGAACAAATTGCCTGGCTTTGTGAACCATCTGGTGGAAACATCCTCTTTTCCATCTCATCTGACCCATTTCTTGAACTATCCACCCAAGTGTTGCAGAGTGGGTGTTTTACAGGTGTACCACATCAGGTCTATGCAACTCTTAGCTGTCTTGTGCTCCTTATCTGAGGGCAGAACTCTAACAGTGACCTCTTAATAAACAGCATTATTAACTTTGTAACCTTCTGCGACATCAGGTGGAAAGTCTTTTTACTCCTGAAGTATCCTTCCTTTTAAATGTAAGATCTCTCTGGGATATCCTGTTATATTGGCAATCTTACATCCTTCTTCCATTCTGCAGATGCAAGCAATTTTTACTAAAGTATGTTACAGTTCTCTCTCTGGCACAGGCAATACGTTTTAGATGAACAGGGGTATACTTGGGGGACAAAATGTCTTTGAAGTCTAAGTCACCAGTGACAGAAAAAATATCTTGAGATAGTGGGGAAACCTTTCTTGTTTGGAGCAAAATTAAATATGTATTTTGCTCTGATTAGAAAGAAGAAACGTACCAAAGCTTCCTTCTAGGTGGAGGCCATCGGGACCTATTCTCAAGAATAATTCCCAGAAAGTCAGTTGCCTGTGAGGATGTTTCTCATTTCCCATGCTGTGCACCAGAGCACAATGCAAGGGCACTTTTCCAGGACTTGTGGTGTGGCTTTCTGTGGGAACAAGTGGAGATTGCTTTATGAGGCTGGTAAGCGGTATATGAGAGGGATGTTGAAGGAGCTCTGAGCTCAAGCTGGATTCATACAGTTAGCTTCACCCTGGGACAACATTCGGTTCCAGTTTTAAAGGCCCTTTTCATTTCTTAATGGAAAGGATCAGAAACCATTTGCATTATATTCACTTTTCCTTGGTGACTTCGTGGAGTTGATGAGGTGCTTAAGATTAAAAATTTTTTTGCTTGATCAAGGTCTAACATACCAACGGTCTTACCATTCCTTGTAGCTGATTTTTGCTGTCAAAATTAATGTGTTTCCCTATTGTAGTCTTGAAGTTGGAGCTCTGTGAAGTTGGATGAGAAAAGTTAACGTGGACATGTGAGTGTAACAAAACTGCAATGGGTCTCAGATAGCTGATCATTCTGCAGCTAGCTAAAAAAAGGCAATTCCTGGATCTGTTTTACTGCTGAAAGGCAGTTTCTGTATTTGTTTCAGCTACTGTATCAATAACCTGCTGTGTTTAGCACAGCTCTAATTTATTTCCCACTGTTTGCCTTTATTTTATGGTACTGGCATTTGCTTTAATGTGATGTTGTTTTCTCCAGATGTTAATAAGATGGTGTTAATGTCTCCACAACATTTTTCTTGATAACATTTATGTAGAGCATGCCATCTGATAATGTGAAATCAACCTATTTTAAAATATTGGTAATAATTTTCTAATTAAAATTAGAGGCTCAGAAGTGTTTTCCTCCCTGTACAAATTGAGGTCATACACTTTCCCGCGCTTGGGGAAAATTATGTGTTCGCTGAGTGAATGAACATCTCCTGCTGTATAAATTGGAAGCATGATATATGAGATCTCGTATCAATGCTCGTGCACACGCACATGGACTATTTGCAGATGCCAGCAGCTGATCCAGGTAGGCATTCGGTGTTTCCAATGAGGTGATGCTCTCACTTGTAGCTCTGCAAGCTGACAAAGAACGAGCGTTAAATCTCAGGAGTGCCCTGTTGTGTACTTTTGGAGAGAGTATTCCACATTTGGGAAGAGAGGTAGTAAACTAGAAAGGGACCAGGTAAGCCTGATGCGGCTGTCTGAAGTTGCTATACCCAACCAAAATCTGCTTCAATATCAACATAGCATTTTTCATTCTTGCTGGGCTTTCTGAATTTGTCTGTACAAAAATAAAATGAAAAAAAGGAATCGCTGAATGAATCACCAAATAAAATGGAAGTGAAACACCAAAAAACCACCACTATTTGGGAAATCCTATGGGCTGTTTACAATTTTAAGCAATGTTCTGAATACGTGTAATAGGAATCATGCTGTATGACCTTACTTTTAAATGATGTTCGGTTTCTCTTTTCCATTAACACTCCTTTCCCTCCATTTTTCGATTTAGATCATGCTTCTTAGTGATCCAGAGATTGAGAGCAGCATCCTCATCAGCTCTGATGAAGGGGCTACCTACCAGAAGTACCGTCTGAACTTCTATATCCAGAGCTTGCTCTTCCACCCCAAGCAGGAGGAGTGGATCTTGGCCTACAGTCTGGATCAAAAGGTGAGCAATTGATTTCATGCTCCAATGATTCTTGAGCCAGGTGTTGAAGGGGATAGTGTCTAGAACCGCGCACTTCCAGAGATGGTGAAGAAATTACGGTGTGTTTGCTGCTCTCACCTTGCCGGTTTAAATGTGCTCAAAACCCACCCGGTGACTCCAAAGCAAGCTTGCTAAGAGGAGTGGAGTTGTACAGTGATCATGATGGGTATGGAAACTTTAGTAGTGGTGATGGTACGAAAGATGAAAAGAATCTGAGATTTGACATGACATATGGAGCTGTTCTAAAAACCTATTGATTTGTAGGCCTTGGTGATTGCTGAGCTGTCTTTGAGAATCGAGCACCCAGGCTGAGCTGGTCCGTAACAGCTGGCTGTTGCACATGAAGGCGTGCTCTTTCTGCTTGCAAACTGAACTCAGTTATCTGGAAATCAGTAAGCAGCAACAGATGGCAAACTCCTCTGTGCCACTTTTAAGTCACTTAGCAGTGCCTTCTGTTAGTGAGACAACTCTTAAGTCTGTTACTTTGTCCTTAGCAAGCCCGCTCTTACTCATCTGTCTTGAAAAATGCTGAGCAATGCAGGTGCAATGTGACTTGTAAAGTGTTGTGGCTATAGAGCGTGTGCTTCAATTTCTGGAACAGCAGTCCCCACTACAGCCCAAAGCTGAGACATAGACCGGGTGATCAAGTTACAAGTTTTAGAAAGCTTAAAACTTGCCAAGCTTTTATCTTTCTTCCATTTCTGTCGTCCATAGACTCCGGAAAGTAAAAATACGCTAAATAGCCACTTTAAGTTTTTTGCATTAATCTGTCAAGTGTGCGTATGTGTGTGTGTTCTGGGTAGGATTTTCAATTCCTGCAGTTATTTTTTAAGTTTTCTAAACTAGTCCATCTCAAATCCCTGCTATAAGGAAAATACACCCAAAATATTGTGCCTCCTGTATTTGACAGAATTTCCTTTGAAGGCCTGGTACAAGTCTTTACCCAAGTAATTACTGAGAGTTACATAATCAAATGATCTACTACCGCTGTACTTCCCGGTGTAACCTTTCCATCCACTTGTTAACAGAACGCTATGGCAGAGACCAGGTGGTTTGCTGCTATGCTAGATGATGCTTGAGTGACATTTGCAAGCACAAAGCTATTGTAAATACACTCCTTTCATGGTGTCAAGTCCTTACTGTATGAAGGAGTTAGTCAAATGTCAAATAGTTTTGTGCACTCAAACTGTTCAGTGTAACAGGGATTTTGAAGTAGGCTAGAAAGACCAATCTATTTATTTGACGTTATGGAATGGTTTGACGCCACTTTCAAACTGAAGGTAAAGATTTTACATGGTACTGGTGTTTGTACAAAGACAGCCCTGAAAGAAACAGACATCTGATGAGGTGCTCATGGATGTGAGAAGACAGAGATGACATGCTGAGTATACGTTTGCAAAGAGATCCAGTTGTAGTGAATGTGGAGAAACTGCTCTTGGGTTAAAACACTGTACTTCTATTTCCAGTGCTTTGTAGTCTTTTTATGACATGTTAGCCACTGGAAGGAGAAATCAAAATACAAAGTATGCACACGCACTTGACTGTGAGGAGCGGGTAATTATGCTCCCCTGGTCCAGTACAGCAATGGTGGCTCAGGAGGATTTTTTCTTCTGCTCCTTCAGACTAATGCATCTGAGTGCCCACCTCAGCTGTTCTCTTCTGCTCAGAAGAGAACCAAGGAAAATAAACTGTGAGCTAGAAACACCCTGAGGCTGCTTGCATTTTATCCCAGGAACTGAACAAATTTGTCCGCAGTGTAAGAGCAAAGATGAGGTGTTGATCAAATGGAAATGGAGCAACACGAAGTTCAGGCTTTGCACTTATGTCTGCCTTTGCATTCAAGGCCCCTCATGATGCTTTTCTTCAGTGTTCAGAAAGGTGGCCTCAAGTGCTGGTTGAAAGTTGATCCTTGAGCAGAACCATGGAGGCAGCGCTTTTCCCAGCTGAAGCATTTGCTTACATAACCATGGCATCGATTGTGCTCAGCCACATCTTGGCTTGGTAAGGGCTGGTAAAGAATTGTCACTCTGGCTCAGGACCATGCAGCTTCACTGCAGTTACAGCTGATACTGAGATAATGGGCAGTGCTGTTAGAGCGCAAAGGTAGTGCTATAGATTGTGATAGCCGTGCTATGTGAAGTCCCCAGGTGAAGTCTTCTGAGAGGTCAGTGTAATACATTCCCGTCTGTCTGGAAACAGGAGTACTGCCACAGCTGAGTGGAAACCAGAGGCCAGCCATGACTTTCTGTTAGATGGGGGTTAGGCCAATGACAACAAGAAAGGGTCTTTTAGGCTAAAAATCCTAAATCCTTAAGGAGCTTCATCAGGTCTTGTGCATCTTCATAAGACTTGTGGTTGTTCTCCTCCCTTGTTCTCTAGAAGCCAGATCTGGATCTCACACCTCCCCACACTGCTATGCCATGCCCTCTCTCCTAGCTGTGATTATGGGATCATGCCAGTGACAATGATCATTTGATCCCTCTGCTGCTGACCAGAAGAGAGATATCAAGAGCTCCTAAAATAAATGGCTAGAGAGGCTGCAGTGTAGTGTTCTGCAGTTGTGAGAAGGCTATCCAAAAAGATGCCATCCTGTTGTCAGGAGCTAATTCTCCAACTGCAGCCTGGTTCTGCTGCTACTCCTCTGTCCTTTGTTTTTGTGCCCATTTTCCTGTGAGGCAGCATGAAGCACAAAATAGGTGGTGCTGGATTAAATAGTGCTTGCTTTCTCACCTCATGTATCCAGGTTTTTGGGATACAACTGCTCTGAAACACTTTTGATTTAAATGCATGAAAGGGCAATAAAATAGAAAGTTTATCATTAGTCTGTAACCTGCAGGCAATATTCATCCACAGATACTGTGACAGGGAAGGTGCCGATGAAAGTCAGTGGCTTGCTGAAAGTCAGTGGTTATGTTCAGTGGTGCAGCCACTCCTACAGTGGGAGACCATAATCTTCCACCTCTCTAAGCTTTAAAAGTGTGTTTGACCCTTAAAGTCTATTTGTAATGACTACTTTAGAGGCAGATTTAAAAATGCAAATAAGTCTGAAAACAAATCAAATACATACAATTTGACTTCCAGCAGTAGGAACTATTAAGGGAAGATCTAATCCACCCTCTCATAACTGTGAATGTATAAACAAGTTTGCAAATTTAATTTCATTTCTTAGATTAAAAAGTAGCTTTCAGATTAATATTTCATTAATTTTCTTTCAATTAAAAATAATAATATTGTGTTGTAAGCAAGCTGTGGTTAACTTGGAAATTAATGAGAGTGACGAATCTGAAAATCCATTTTGCCTGGTATGTTGTTCCACATATGGAATATCAACAGCTAGTGCCCTACAAATAATTGATTTGGTCACTCTCTAGATCAAAAGATTTTAAAATTGTTTCGTGTATAAAAATAGAAAACAATATTAAAGTTTTTGTGTGAAACAAAAATAGTCAATGTTTTTGATTTTCCTGTTAAAAAGTTTTTCTCCGAGGTCTTCTGACCTACAGTTCCATGGCTGTGATTCAAGCCTCTTTTTTAATCATTCTTTTATCCTAAGCATCCCTCCTCCTTTTTAGCTAACTTCGACATATTTGACAACAATATTAGCCTATTTATCCGGTTGATTAAAAACCCAACCAACCAACTAAAAAACCCAACACATTTTGAATTCTGTCCTCTAACAGAATTATTGTCCCTTCTGAGTTGGTGTTTTAGAAGGTGTATTCACTAGAATAAGACAGTAGTGAATAAACGGAATAATGTAGAACTCCGTGACACTCATGTGGAACCACAGTCTTTACATGTCCCCTGCAGTTTGACAGTGGCCAAGTCATAATTGTTTTCAAAATACGGTATCCCAGTTAGTTTTTTACCCAGCTAACAGTAACTTCCTACAGTCTTTCAGCTGGCTTAGGAGAATGCTATGAGACCTCAGACCAAGTGTATGCATCTGTGACATGCAAGCCTTGTCCTTTCTTTTGTGAGAAGTGATGCCTTCTTGCAGTAATATTCTAGTTGTGAATTTTCTCAACCAGACACTGTTATGCCTCTATTATGTGTAATTTTGATCATAAGTTTATGCCTTCAGTTTTTCCTGCTGGCTCTCTCTTACTCTCAGCCTTGACGTTCAGGTGTTGCAGGATGCTCTGCAGATTATTATTGTTCTTCTCCTATAGCCTTGTTGTTGAATAACCCCACTCCCTTAGCTTATCCTTTGCCAGGATCTGTTTTTATACCTACCTGTGGACTTTTGCTGTCAGTCTCATGTGATTCTAGTTTAAAGCCCAAGCCTCACAGCAATCTTATGTCCAAAAATGACCTTCCCCTTCTTTAAGAGAAGGAGACCATCTCTTTTCAACAGAACTTCTTCTTGCAATATGACTTCATAGCTGAGAAAGCCAAAGACTTTCTGACAATGTTATCTCTTCCATCAACTGAAATAATTGAATACGGCATCAGTTCAGTCCCCAAATCTTTTATTACCACTCCCACGTGCATATTGTCCCTCTTTTTCCTGCTTGGGGCTATTCCCAGGAGCAAGGGAGAAGATTCAGTGAGAGGGATGGAGCTCAGCAGGCTTTCTGCAAGATGTTTTGCTGTGTGGCTGCTGGGTATTTCATTCATTTAGGGACAAATCACAGCCACCACTATTTGTTTTCTCTTTGGAGTATCCAAAGAGTTATTGAGGATACTTCCTCAGTATGAGTCGACACAGTGTATCTTTCTTGTTCTTAATTTTTGTAGCCGATTATGACCCTCCTCTGCCTTGCTATCTCTCTTGTACTATCAAATAAAGTCAGTATGGCTTAGCCAAGAAATCTGTTTGTGTGGGCATGAATGTGTAGCAAGTTCGTAGACGCTACTGTCTTCTCACAACATATAAAGCATAGACAGGAGGAATTTTTGCAGGGCTTTAAGCAAGCATGGGTGGGTGTACTACTCCCCTCTGAGCAGCCACATAGCAT